CCGGCGTGGGTTCCCCGTGTCCCCCTGTGCCTGTGTGTCCCCCCGCCTCCGGGGCTGCTTTCCATCACACATTTTAGGATCCAAAAAGCTTGTTAAAAATCCATCAGCACTGCCTGCTCCTGTATAGGACCCCTGCCATGGTCCATGGTGGGCTGAGGACTCATCACCCCTTTCCTTAGTCTGGATGCCCTTTGCCCACAGGTTTTCCCTCCTCTGTAGCACGAGAGCTGCTGGACTGGGGATGAAGGAGTTGTGATGTCCCTAAAAGCCTCGCTGATGTATTTCTCTGTTTCCCTCAGACAGATGTTGTCCCAGAGGACTGAAGTCTGCCCGCGGCCAGTGAACAGGTGGAAAATGGTATTTGTCAAAATCCTGAGAAGTCCTTTTTGCACAGCTCAAGAGGAATGTGCCCAGAAACCCTGTGTATCTCTGACGTCTTTGTTTCCTTGTGCCTTGCCTAAATTTTAGTTTCCCAGGACACCCACATGCCCATTACTGCTTTAAAATGTCTGCAGACAGTACTTTTAAAGTTATTTCTCTCTCCAGCATCTTTGCAGGCAACTTGGAACAGGCTGAAGGAGTTGTAATGAACCACAGGGGGGGAAAAGTGCTATGGAGCCATGGAAATCTGGCTGGAAAATCCAGGAATGGTTCCTAAGAGAGGTTTGCAGTGATCATTGTGGAATTTATCCAAACCAGCTCTGTGCATATTCTTCTTCCAACCCTCAGTGGCTGCTCATCCCTCTGGAGCATCAGCAGGGGCCACCTGGGTGGTACAGAGGGTGTCCAGATCCATCTGCAGGCTGGATTAGGGTTCTGATGCCTGTGGCCATTTATGTCAGCTTTATTCCACCTCTTTATCCTGGCATGTGTGTTCCTGCCAGGTTATGGGCCTGGAGAAGAAGTTGTCAGAAACTAGAGAGAAAATAAATGACTTAAGACTGAAATGATATCCACTGTGTCCCTCTGTGGCTTGGGTCAGAGAGGAGATGGTTGTGACATGGCACATGCCAGACTCTGGCAAGGGGTCTCCGCACTTATCAAAGATCAGCTGGCACAGAGCAGGGGAGGGGGATGGCACATCTGTCTGCATCTCTCAGGACACCTCAAAGGTAAAGGCAGTCCAGGGTAGATTTAGATTGGATATTAGGAAGAAATTCTTCCCTGGGAGGGTGGTGAGGCCCTGGCACAGGTTGCCCAGAGAAGCTGTGGCTGCCCCATCCCTGGAAGTGTCCAAGGCCAGGTTGGAGGGGCTTGGAGCAACCTGGGCTAGTGAAAGGTGTCCCTGCTCATGGCAGGAGGATTGGAATGAGCTGAGTTTTAAGGTTCCTTCCCACCCAAACCATTCTAGGATTTGTTGATTCTCTGATTTTAAGAACTGCATGACCACGAGGTGTGTAAATCCCACGACACCCGGGCTCATTGCTGTCCTCTCTTACACTGGGCATTTGCATCCCCTCTCCTGCTGGGTTCCCCCTCAGAGCAGGTTTCCCTGGGCTCTTTCTCAGCTCAGCACATGGCTCAGTGCCTCTGCGTGCTTTGTGCTGAGCTGGGTGCCCGTTGCTATAATTTTACCTGTTTGTGTCCCTTAATCTGTATTTGTTCCCTTTGAAAAGTGCAGGGAGATCCATTAGGGAAGAGGTGCTGGGTAAATACTGCCCGATCCTCTCCCCGCCCGGCCCCTGGGATCAGTGATTAACCCCGGGTAAACAAAGCTGCCTGCCAGCCAACCCTCGGGGCACGGGGGACCCGCAGCTGCTCCTCCCCACCTGGAGGGGAGACAGAAAAGCCGGGGTCGTCAGGGACACTGCTGGAGCTGGACGGTGGCGCGGAGCTGAAACACCGGTGGCAGAGTGCCATGGCCTGCTGACGGTGTGCCATGGGCGGGACCAGCCACCAGCACTATAAGTAGGGCTGGTGACGATCCACCCTGGCAAACCAACTGCTGAACCCCGGCAAAGCACCTGCTGAACCCCGGCGCGTGGAGCAGGCAGCGTGGGCCGGGTGGAGCAGGCGCCCAGGAGGAGCTGTGGTGAAGGTGTCCTGTGCTGGGGAGCCCAACGGCACGTGCTCAATGCCAACACAGTGTCCGTAGGCTCTGGCACACCCGGGACATGGATCACAGCGCTGGGACAGGTCCATAAAGGCTCCCCAGCAGGTGCCAGGCGATGGCAGGAGCTCAGGTGGGGCTCCTGGGACCCTTCCCGGAGCCCCCAGCTGGGCCATGCCCCGTCTCTGATTCCGACTCCGACTTCGAGGACGCGGCTGTGGGTGGCACAGGACCCGGTGCTGGGGCACAGAACCCCTCCCAGGTCATCCACAGCGGCCACTTCATGGTGTCGTCCCCACACAGCGACACGCTGCCCCGGCGGCGGCACCACCGCGCCAAGCCCGAGCCGGCTGATCCCCGGAGCATCGACCCGACCCTCACCCGGCTCTTCGAGTGCATGAGCCTGGAGTACAGGTGAGTCCCAGAGCCCTCACACCGGCATGTGTCTCATGGGCCCCCAGCTCTCTGAAGACATGAGGGGCTGAGCCCTGCTGCCCAGCCAGGGCCTTGTTGCCAGCTGACATGATCCCCCTCTTCTCCACGGGCTGTGTGTGCCATATGCTCAGAAAACACCATCCTGGGAGGTTCTGAGGAGAAAGGGCTGGTGCTGGATTGTTGGCCATGGAGACAGGTGAAAAGTTCCTCCTCTTTTGACGTGTAGCTTGACTCTGCTCCACTTTCCCATGAGATCCAGCGTCGCTGTGCTCAGCTGTAGCACCCTCATGGCCAGACCCTGTGCTCCCCCTAGAGCAGCAGTGACCCTGTGGGCAGCCAGCACTCAGCCTTTGGCAATCCAGCCCAGAGCAGGAGTCCTGCCTTCTGTCCTTGACTCTGTCCACATGCCCTGAGGTTATTCCATGACAAGCAGCAGCAGCACTAAGGGCTGGATGGCTGCACAGGCTTTTGTCCAGGGTCTCCCAAAAGCTTCCCTTCTTCTCTCCTGCTAAATCTGATGGGTGACTGCATCATTCCCCTGCCACACAAATCACCCAAGCCCTGGTGACAGCTCCTTGGTGACAACAGGACAGACTGCAATGTGTCTCTTGGTGCCTTGGTCCACATTCTTGAAGGCAGATCCCTCCTTTGCCCCCAGGTTTTGACTTCTCTCCAGCATGGCATCAGAGGGACTTCCTCAGGTCAGTGCAAATCTGCATAGCCTTCCCAAAGGAAAGAAACCTGGAATTACAATATCCCAGGTGGAAACCTGGAATAACAATGTGCTGCTGATGCTGCATGAAAGCAGACGCTCAGCAAAGCAGAAGGCCATTGCCTTCCCCCTCATTCAGTGGCTCATTTAGGGTCTCATCCAGGGCCTGAGGTCTCAGGTTTGCCTTGAAGACCTTGAGTGCTCCGTCTGATGGAATATGTGGTCACTGCCAGAGCATCCCTGGGGACGCTGAGCACAGGGACAGCACTCCAAGGGTACCAGTTCCCACATACCTGGCCTGTCACCACGTTCCAGGTGCCTGGTTTGCTGGCAGCTGGCAGGGCACAGCTCTGCCATTCCACTGCAGTCAGGGCTCCATTGCTCCAGATCTCCCAAACCCTTGGACTCTGTCAGTGCATCATTTCCTTCCTGCACTGGGCATAGCAATGCCCACACTGGCTCCACTGCAGTGGGACCCTCATCCAAGCCCTGTCCAACCTGGCCTGGAACACTTCCAGGGATGGGGCAGCCACAGCTTCTCTGCCCAACCTGTACCAGGGCCTCCCCACCCTCATAGGGAAAAATTTCTTCCCAATATCCCATCTAACCCTGCCCTCTGGCAGTAGGATGCCATTCCCCTTGTCCTGTCACTCCAGGCCCTTGCCCAAAGTCCCTCTCTGGCTCTCTTGAAACCCCTTTTTGCACTGGAAGAGGCTCTGAGGCCTCCCTGGAGCCTTCTCCAGGGAGGACACCCCCAGCTGTCCCAGCCTTTCCCTTGCTAATACAGTTTGACACCCTTGTAGGCAGCAGCTGGAGGAAGGTATCAGAGTGGGAAAACGCAGTTTAAAAGTACTTGGTGCACCTCTACATTTAGTCTCATCTGATTTGTTACTTCTCTGCATCACCTGCCATTTTACACCTTCCATGCCAGCCAGGTTCCCCAGATGGGGGGTTGGTGCAGCATGGCCTCAGCTGGAGTCACCAGCCCAAGGTCCCCCAGTCCTCAGGAGAGCAGCCACAGTTCATTGCAGGCTAACTCCCTAACCAAGGAGGAACCACAGAAAGGTGTCAGCTGGGAGGTCCCTTTGGAATTCATCATCCAGCTCCTTTGGAGGGCAGGGCCGGGTACAAAGCCAGGTCAGGTTGCTCAGGGCCATCACTGATGGATGTGAGCCCACCACGTTCCAGCCTCCCCAGGGCTGCCCCGCTCTCACAGGGAGGAGTGCTGTCCATGGCTTTAGTTGGAGTTTCCCTGTTCCAACTGGTGTAGCTGGTGGCAGTAAGTAGATTCTCTCTTCAAGATGAACAAACCCATCCCTCTCCCTCCTCTTCTGTCATGTGCCTTAATCCCCAACCATCTGAACACCCTCCTCTGGGATTGCTCCAGTTTGTGAACCTCCCTCTTGGACCAGGAGACCAGTCTGGGCACAGTAGCCAGCCTTGGCCATCACAGTGTGGAGCAGAGGGGAACTATCCCACCTCCTGGTGAGCTGTGACTGCTGCAGCCACACATCCCTTGCTGTCTGGTGTGGTTTCAAAGGTCTTTGAACTTTCCCTGAACATTTTTCAATGGCTATAGCTGGAATTCCTCCCCTCTCCAGCACTCCTCCTGGCATTTCACAGACATTATGACAGTCCTGTCTCAGCCTGAGCAATCACCCCAGGGATCTGACTTATTTTCCCCTCCTGGGCGGACTGTGCATCACCCCTGGCTTGGAAAGAAACGCTCTCTCCACATCAAGGTTTGCTTCCAGCAGTAACTTGTTCCCTCAGATCCCTCAAAGAGAGGCAATCCCTGCTCCAGAGTCTTCCTTGTGGTGCTGGAGGTTGAGTTCCTTTTTACCCATATTTCAGGACACTTAGAGCAGTTCTCCTGCCAAAGGCTTAATGATTCTCTCCCACTCCTTCTCCTGCAACAGCCTTTATTTCTGGAATCCCTTCCTCAGACTGTTGTTTCTCCTGTGGGTGATGTTTCTCCCTGCAGCCCACCTGGCTGCCCCTCCTTCCCCAGAAGGCTGAGTGTGGAGCTGAACCAGCTGGGCTCACAACCCTTCCCATGACCCATTCCTGGGAATCACTGACCTGGGGAACATCCTCCTGAAGGGAGAAAAACTGGGAGCAGACTGGAAGCTGCAAACTGCAGCCTCTCGTGGTCTTACCTGGCACACATCTGCCTCAAGTTCCAGAAGTATCTTCCCGTAGCTGTTCCCAGAGTGTGGTGTGAATGAACCTCCTCCCTGCAAGTAGCAAGGGAGAGATTTGGCAGGTAGGGACGTTAGACTGGGAATTGACCTGGAGTATCCACTCTGCCCCTCTTGTGATTCGAAACAAGGCAGCTTGTGTGCCAATTCCCTACTAATTCATCCTCCTGGCAGGTTCTGTGTCTCCCCTGGAAGAGGTGGAATTGCTGCAATAGCTTCAACAGACTCTCTGATTGATTTTCTAGTTCATAGTGCCTTAAACACTCCCACAGGGGCAGCGAGCACCAGGCAGAGACCCCAGCGATGCACAAGCTGAGCTTCCCTCTCCCTATTTCCTTCTGGCAGAAGACCCCCCTTCCAGGGGGTCTGATGAGGGGGAAAGTCTCTCCTGCTTGGGCTAAACCCATCCACAGTGCGCTGTGCTTGTGCTGTCATTAGTGTCAGGGAGCTGTGAGTCTTTTCTCTGCCATTCCCCGGAGTTTTGGGGCTGATCCTGTCCAAGGATTGTGCAGAGGGGCCGGGCTGGTGTGCTGGTGTACCCACACTGATGCACTGGGGAGTCATACCTCCAGAGACCACCAAAATAACTGGCTGTGGAGGTGTAGCTTGGCTTGTAACTCTCCAGCTCTCAGGTGACTTTTTGCAAGTTTTTCAATGCCTTCACTTCTAATCTGGGACAGGAAACTGTCTGTTCCATCTCTCCTTGGAGTACATGCAGAGCAGGTCCCTACATCATCCCAGTACAGTCTATCAACACCTTTGTTCAACACCATCCCCGAATCATCCCTGGGCTGAGCTCAGTCCCAGCACAGCTGGCACAGCAGCTGTTTCGTCCACAGTGAAGAAAACAGCTTGTTTAGGTAGTGGAGTTTGAAGGTGGATTTGAACACAGTCATTTTTCACTTAGGGGGCACTTTCCAGGGAAACTGTGGTTGGATTTTTAACTTTCTCTGCCAGACTCTGGATTTTAAAACTTAAAAACTCAAGAAAATACATGACTGTGGTAGTAAAATTTGTGAGAAACGGAAGATGAGTGTTAAGGACATGCAGGGAACACTGTCCTCCTTCCTGCCAGCCCCAGGAACAGCCATGTCCCACAGCCCAGGGAGCGAGGGGGGCTCTGATAGCCCCACAGGTATCCTGCTTCTTGGAAGGGATGAGCAGGCTTGTCCCTGCCAGAGGACCCTCAGCTCAGCTGTTCCCCTCCTGCTGCCACTCATTTCTCTTCGTGCAGCCCCTGCATCTCTCCAGATTGCTCTTCCCTGCTCCTCTTGCTGCTGATGGGGGGAAAAGAACCAATTTGCCACAGAATCAGGGACTCCAACACCTGAAAGTCCTGTGTGGGTAAATAAGCCACGGAGCAGACAAGGTGCTATGGACCCACATTGGGGTTGGACCGAGGCTGAGCCCTGCTCCCACCTCACTCCATCCCACAAATACCCTGTAGTCCACTGTTTCCCAGTCCCTCTGACTGTGGGGCAGCAAGCCCCTCAACCTGTTTAGGGCACCCTAAACCGTTCCCACGGTTTGATGTGGGGTTTGCATCCATCTCCCTGGGAAGATAATTTCAGGAAAGGGTAGGGCTGTATTCAAGGCAAAGCAGGGAGCAAAGATCAGACTGATAAGCCCCAAAAATGAAAGGATCATTAAGGAGAGAAAAAGGCAGTTGGTGGCAAAGCCCAAAGGCATCACGCCTCTGCCTCCAGACCCCACAGCAGCTCCGTGGCCACGGCCCCACAGGCCCTGCGCGTGACCAAGGTGTCTGACTGCACCCCAAGGGCTTGGGCTGCTCCTTTCAGTTGTCTGAGTGAGGAGCGTGGCCTTGACCAGCAGGATTTGGCCACGTGCCTGGGAAAACCGCCCTTTCCATTGGCTCCTCCACTTGGCAGCACCGCGCTGTTTGCCTTGGGTGACACCGGGGAAAGTTCAAAATCCTGGTGATAGTGGAGTGGCCAGTGTGTAGTCGAGTCCTTAACTCTCTGCAGGCTGGAGCCACGGGGCCTCAGGTCCCTTTCCAGCCCCTGGGGCTGTGGATTGGGCTGTATCTCCCTTGGGAAACTGTCCCCATCCACCCCTGTGGGTGGAAGCACCTACTCCCAGACACATCCCTGCATCAGGCTCTGGAGGTGGAGGGGTCCCCGGTCCTCCTCCTCTGCAGGAGGCAGATTTCAAGGCAAGAACCCACCAAAATCATAGCTAGAGAATTTCTGGAGGTTTCACAAGCTTGAATGAACAAGTCAGAGGCTTCTTACACCATTCTCATCCCCAGCACCTCCCTGGGGACACAGCCCAGAGGCACCTGGATGCACCCAAGGACAGGCTGGGAACAGGGGATACAGCACTCCAGTTTCCACCTTTCCTGCTCCCTGCATGAGCCAAGGAAAAGTGGGACTCAGAGCAGCACTGAGATCTTTAGGGGACAAACTATTGGCTGGGGAGGGATGCCATGCAGGCTGCAGCCACCTCTCAGAGGGACCCCTGGAGCATCTGGCATTGCCCTGGGGCCATGCCCTGATGGGTGGGAGAGCTGGGAGAGGTGAAATGGACCCCAAAGTGAGGCAGAGGGACCCCTGGGACAGCAGGACCACCAGGACCTCCCCAGTGGGGGCACACGAGTGGTTGTGTCCCTTGGCTGGATGGAAACAAGACAGTGAGTGAAATGAGGCTTCCCCCAATGCAGATCCCATCAGGGACATCACCACCACCACAACGAGCTGTAGAACAAACACAGCTGCCTCTGGGAGCTGGGAAATCGGAAGCAAAGAGCCCAGTTCGGACTGGGGGGGCACAGGTTTGCAGGAATGGGTATGGAGAAGAGCTCAGGGCAGCTCTGGCTGAAGGCAGGGCTGGTCTTGCTCTCTGTCTGTCTTGGGGCACAGACAAGTGTCCCTTAACGTCCTGAACATCCTCCAGTGCTGTCCAGCCTTCCCAGATCCCCCAGGATGGCTGCCACTGCCTGCCCCAGCTGAAAGCAGCATTTCCAAGTCTTTCCTGGCATGAAAAGGAGGGTCAGAAATAGCTGCTCAAACACTGTGATGAGGCAAGAGCCACCACAGCACATGTCCCCGGGCGTCTCGCCTGGGCGGGAGACTTCCCTTCCTGTCCCCTAGGGCTGGGACACAGATGGCCTGGTCAGGGACAGTGGGATCCCTCCTCAGAGCTGGGGTTCAAACCTCAAGGAGTCAATTCCTCTGTGTGCTGTGCTTTAATTCCGGGGGTTTGAGAAGCCTCCTGTGGGTCTGTGAAGCTCAGGGATTAGGCCTGTGCTGCTCTCGGAGTGCACAGGAGTTGGGAATGCTCCTGTGGGTGCTCCCAGAGGTGCCTGCCAAGCCTCCTGTAGCAGAGCCATGTGGCTGTGCCTGCTCCTGACTTGCCACCAGGCTGGTGGCCCCCAGGTATGTCCCCCTAGGCATGTCTTGAGGCACAGCCCCCTGGGGAGACCCCGAACTGGAAGGACTGTGGGATGGTGCCCCTCAGCCTCCCCTTCACTTGGTATTTCAGTGGGAAGCTGGTGTCACCCAAGTGGAAGAATTTCAAGGGGCTGAGGCTGCTTTGCCGGGATAAAATTCGTCTCAACAACGCGATCTGGAGAGCGTGGTACATCCAGTGTGAGTATGGGCCAGACCCTGCTCCCTCTGCCAGGAGCCAGGCTGTGCCCAGGGGGATGGGGCTGGCACCGGGGCGGCCATGTGCAGGTGCGTGGATAAATCATGGATGGGGCATGGATAATGCCAGCTGTGCTCTCTCCTGTGCAGATGTGGAGCGGAGGAAGAACCCTGTGTGTGGCTTCATCACCCCTCTGGAGGGGTTGGAGGCTGATGAGCACCGAAAACCAGAGGTAGGGCAGGGTCCCTCCCAGGTCTGAGTGGCACAGCAGGGAGCTGGGACCCATTTGCTGGGAAAGGTGTTTCTGACATGGCACAGGGCAAGCAGCCCTGGCTGTGGGGTGTTGGGGCTGGGGGGCTCAGCCATGACCCCCTGTCCTGCCCCAGGCTGTTGTGCTGGAGGGGAACTACTGGAAGCGCCGCATCGAGGTGGTGATGAGGGAGTACCACAAGTGGAGGATCTACTACAAGAAGCGGGTGAGTGGCTCTGCCCGTGCTGCTCCCCCTCTGAGGCAGTGCCAGTGGTGGGGTGGAACACCAGTGTGCCCACCCTGGAGCTGTGGCTGACAGGGAGGGATGTGACAGGCTCTTGCCAGCATGGGAGGGAGCCGCTGGCTGCCCCTCCTGAGCTGTCACCCTCACCCTGCCCCACAACATACCCACCCTGCCTGGGGGTGACACAAATTGTCTTCTCCTTCAGCTCCGAAAGTCCACCCGGGAGGGAGAGATCTCCAGTCCAAAGCAGGTGAGTCTGCTGGGAAAGGATGGGGAGGGGGAAAAGGGAGGCACAATGCAGATCCCTGCACTGGGCAGCCTGGGAGAAGGGCAGAGGAAAGCCCCATTGTGTGGCAAGCCCCATGGGATGGGATGCCAAGCACTTGGGATGCTGGATTCACCCTTCTGGAAGCAGCAGAGTGCCAGATGTGAAGATTTGGAGTCAACACTGTGGGAAGCATGGGGGATGCCAGGGAGAGCAGCCACGGAGCCAGGCATGGACCCTCCCCAGGAGAGGTGCCCACCTGTCTCCTTTGCTCCATGTCATGCAGGATGAAGATGTCTGGAGGCCAACAGAGAAATGGTGCAACCAGCTCTTCTGCAATGTGGTGCCAATGCTGCTTGGGGACGAGGAAGAGGAGCCTGGGAGCAGGCAGCACTTTGACTTGGACACCTTCCTCTCAGACATATCTGACACCCTCTTCACCATGACACAGATGCCCAGCGCTCACCAGGCACTCCCCGAGGATGGTAGGTGCCCCAGACCATGCTCCAGCAGGATGTGGACATGGAGCAGGGTGGTGGGATGGGATGGCCCTGGCTCTCCCCAGGGTGGGCACCCACCTCCCTGCCCAGGGAAGGGTCCAGTGACACAGGGTGACTGGGGTGACACAGAGGGGTGGCAGGTAGTGGTGGGAGCAGCGGCTGGGCCCTGATGTTCCAGCTCTGCCCTCTTCCAGCGTACGTTGGGAATGCTGACATGATACAGCCAGATTTGGCACCCCTGCAGCCCAGCCTGGATGACATGGACATCTCAGGTAAGAGCCAGCCTGGATGTGGTACCACATCCCACACAGCCCTGCACCCCATGGCAGCCCAAAATGGGGGGTCAGAGGGTTGGCCAGGCTACAGAGGGAGCTGCTGGGGCAGGCAGAAGCACCAGGCACCCAGTGCCATGGGAAAAGCAGCATGGATGGGCAGGGGCTGTAGGCAGGGAGTTGGTGTGCTTGCCTGCAGCTGGACAGAGCCACAGAGAGTTGGGAAAGTTCAGGCCAGGAGCTGTGGGAGGGGATTTCTATAAGCACAGGATCTTTCCAGGTGTGCCAAAGCCCCTCATTTTGGCTGCAGAGGAAGGACAATTGTCCCAAACTGGAAGAGGAAACCCCTGGAGGGCAGGTTCTGCATCCCCTCCTCACCCCACTGCCCAGCCAGCCCCAGGCTGAGCAGCCCAAGGGACTGGGACAAACCTGGCACTGGTGTCCAGCTGGGGCAAGGGGATGACAGGGAGGAACACCAGGAAGGGGGCAGTAGCAGCCTCCCCCATGCTGCCATGCAGGCTCTGAGCTGTGAGTGTCCCTGTGTGCCATGGAATCAGCTGGGACACATCCTGGTCCCAGCATTGTCCCCATATGCCAGGGCAGGGCACCGCTGGGGACCAGCTTTGCCCTCGAATGTGCTGGAGCTGGGCACACTGTGGGGGTTGGTGGCCCTCCAGGTAGCTGGTGGCCTCAGGCAGCAGCAGCATCTCCAGACCCCCATGTGAGCCTGGAGCTCCATGGCCCGTCTCCACTTCCTTCAGGAGGAGGAAACAAGGGCACTTGCGCCATACAGCTGAGGGGTGATGCAAGACCAGATGCTGGCAGGGAGCAGGATGGGCACTCTGTGTGCCAGGGCAGGCAGTGGGATGCTCTGGGGATGGATGAGGTGGGAAGGCTCCTGCCAGCACCTCCTTGGCTCATTCCCTCCAGAGATCCCATCAGGGTGGACCACACTGGGAAGAGGGTCTGTCCCGTGGCTGACCCTTTGCCCCCTGTCCCCTGGGGCCCCACATGGACATCAGTCAGTGGACAGCTCCAAGGGGGTCAAATTGACCCTTGACAAGTGTCCCTCCCCCCGAGAGGTCCTGCGTGGTGTCACAGCAGCCCCAGCACCTCTCTGAGGGCCCAGCATGGCCTCATGCTCGAGCAGATGGCAAGGAGCACAGCGGTGCTCAGCTGAATCAATGTTTCAGCCAGGTTGGCTTTTCTCCTGGGAAAAGGCCTGCACTTTGCTCCAGGGTGCTGTCTGGGAATAGGGTTTTACTGCAAGCTATATAATAGGGTTTTACTGCAAGCCACTAAATCACAGGGAAGCGTCCTTTCCTGCTCTACCTGTGCCCAGCAGCTCGGAACAGGGACATTGCTGGGGCTGGGGAGGGTCCAAAAAGTCCTGCTGGGGTAAGGGACAGTGTCCCAGCTGTGGCTCCTACTGAAGAGGGGCTGGTGTGCCCTGGGGCAGGGCAGCATTCCATGGGGTGCTTGGAGACTCATGGGTGGGAGTTTTGTCCTAGACATGGGACATTTCCTGAGGTGCTTGGAGACCTGTGTGTGGGAGTTTTTTCCTAGACATGGGACATTTCCTGGGACTCTCTGGATGATGAGGGGTTGCAGCCGAGGGCTGTGTGTGTGCCATGTCCCCCGTGGGGAAGTGGGGAGAGGAGATGGGGGTGAGTGGTGGGTGCTGGGTGCCACCAACCCAATTATGTCCCAGAGGACACTTTTTCAGCAGGGCAGGACATGGTTTTCTGTGAATCCCTCACGCAGAGCTGTGCGGGGTGGGCACCGCGGGGTCACAGGGCTGTCACCGTGTGGGGTGGCCCTGGCAGAGCTCAGCGCCTGCCAGTCAGAGCCTGCAAGCCAACCCCCAAATGAGGAAGCATCTCGTGTCCGTGGTGGGTCCGGAGCGCGGTGCGGGGCGGATGGAGAAGTCCTGATGGCAGAGGCGAGGGAGCAGCCCGGCCCCGTGCCCCGCTGGCACCGCGCTCCAGGTAGGACCCACGCTGGGCACGGGGGCACTGGGGGCTGGGCTGTCCCATGGGGTGGCATTGCCCCACTGCACCGCAGGGCTCTCCCAGATCCTGTGGCCAGTGCTGGAGGGTCCTTACATTGGGAAGGGGCTCTGCAGCCCCAGTCCCAGCAGAGAGCAGCCCCAGGTTTGAGTAGGATGCCAAAGGCATGGTGTGCTGACCACATGGGCTCTTCTCCCTCGAGCAGCGCTGTGCCCTGGCTGCTGGACTACCTGGAGTGGGGCAGGGTGATGTGATGGTGCAGAGGAGCATGGGCAGGAGCTGTGGGGTGGGGAAGGGGCAGGAGAAAGGGAGGACAGGGCTCCCAGGGGCTGCCATCCCTGTAGCACAGCAAGAAGCACAAGAAGCACAAATCTGCCAAGCTGGGCACCAGAAATGCCTATAAATACCCACAGAGCTTTGGTGCCAGTGGCAGAGGCAGCCCAGTGTGGGCACAGTGCAGGTGGGGGCAGCACGGGGCTGGGCTGCATCCCAGGAAGGGTGAGACCCTGCCTGGCAGCATCATGGCACTCACTGAGTGCCAGCCCGTGGAGGGGCAGGGGTGGCCCTGCCGTGTCCCCAGGGACTCACCATGGCCTTGGCAGAGGGAAGGGGCAGTCTGGGGGCTGTCTGAGGCAGCTCAGCCACGGCTCTGCCCCATCTCACACTGCTGTTTCCCTCGGATGGCAGCACATGGCATGCTGGAATCATCACCGTGCCCAGTCCCGTGGCATCCCACAGCGCTGGCACATTTGCTCCTCTGGTGTAGATTCAACAGGGTCTCAGGCCTTTGTGGGTCCCAGTCAGGGCACCCCGGGTGCTGGAGCCTGGACCACAGCTGGTGCCCTGGTCATGGCTGTACACACCAGGCAGGCAGAGCCAGCAGCAGGGCCTGGAGATGGCACTGCCAGTGCCAGACGAGGGCTGGAGAGGACAGCTGGGTGCTCCCTGGAGGAGATGCGAGTGCCTGTCCCAGGGTGGCTGCTCAAGCACAGAGCCTGTGCCAGGGGCTGGCAGGCAAGAAATCCAACGAGTCCTCCTGCTCCCTCCTGCAGGGAAGCATCCAGCAGCCCCATCCCAGTCCCACGATCATCCTCTGCCCCCTCTCCTGGTGGCGATGCCGGAGCCAGTGCTGGCACAGGCACTGAGCCGAGGCGGCCGTGGGGCTGATGTGCCCGGGGAGGTGGCTGCCTATAGTGTCGGGCCAGCCCTGCGTGCCACGGCGTCTGGGCCTGCGGAAGGAGCGGGGTTGTGGGAAGGAGACAGGAAGGGAGCAGGAGTCGCGGCAGGGTCACGCGGCTCGGCTTCGGGAAGGCCATGGGATGTGGTTACCCACAGGCTGCACGCACGGCAGTGCTGGGGTGGGGAGGACAGCACTCACCACCACTCCAGGGGACCATCCACATTCCCTTCTGGCTTGGGAATACTCATCCAGACCCCCCTGCTGTGCCCCCAGCCTGGGTGTCGTGGTCCCTGCCCCAGCCCGGGGCTGATACAGCCCCACACTCCCCTGGGAGCAGCCGTGGGGCTGGAGCATGTGGAGCCCAACTGGGTACCAGGGATGGGATCCCCACCCTTGGGTGGCACTCTGGGTGGATTTTCCTGTTCCCATGCATATGGCAAGGCTGGCCCTGGGTGACAAATCTGCCGGAGCTACCCTGGCCACACAAGGTGAAGGGGGGATTGGCAAGTCCCCAGCAGTGCCAGTAACAGGATACGGCTCCACCCTACGTGCCCCAGGGCTTGTCCCCCATCTCTGGGCAGGTCCCCTCGTGCCAGTCACCGTGTCTCCACTTGGCCCTGCAGATCTCTTCTTCAGCCACCGAACAGCCCCATCGCAGACACAACTGGGCTACCAGGAGCCATCCTGCTTCTTGCCCATGGCTGAGCCCCTGTTTGATGCCGGGGAGTCCCTGATGGGTGCTAGGGGGCTGCCTGCAAGCCCTGAGGCCCCACTCTCACCCGGCACCCTCCTCCAGGTGAGCAGAATCCCAGCCCACAGCCGGTGGCTGTCGGTATCCCAGCCACCCTCCCTGATGCTCCGGTGTCTCCCGCAGCCCAGCAGTGCCTCCCAGCTCAGCCTGCACACCACCTTCCTGGGCCCTGAGCTGCCCCCGGGCCCCGGGCCCCCTGAGCCCCCCTCTGCAGTGCCCAGCAGCTTCAGCCCCCAGCTCCGACACAAGCTCCCGCTGCAGTACGACCTCCCCACCAAGTGCCTCAGCCTGGAGCCGCCAGGACCCCACTACATCCCCCCCATCCTGTCCCCTGGGGCACCACTACCAAGCCCAGACCCCCTGTTGTCCCCCGCCTCGGCCCCCCGCTCCAAGTTCCCCTACGCCAGCTCCCCTGGTCCCTCTCTCCTCACCCACCCTGCCTCCCCCCTCTCAGCCCCTTGCTTTGCCCCCCACACCCCGGGGCTGGGCTACACCACGGGCATGGTGCCTCCGGGGTACCCCAGCCCTGCTGCCCCCCAGCTCCTGCCCCCTGCCCTGCTGGGCGACCCCAGGTTTGCCCCCCCCAAGGGGCTGCCCCAGGGCGGGGGGGGGGCGGCCCAAGGCAAAGCCCGGTGGCACCAAGGCGAGGAGGCTGCCAGGACCCCCCGTGCCCCACCTGCCTGTGCCCAACCCCTGCCTGAGCCAGTTGCTGACCGCAGGTAAGGGGGATGGGGGGACTGTGGGGGGACACAGGAGTGAGCCGGGGGGGATGGTATGGGAGGGATCAGAGAGGGGACCACGCTTTCTCCCTGGTGTTGGGGCACTGGGGATGCTGGGCAGGGCACATGGCTGTCCCCATGGGGACAAACATAGGGGTGAAGATCCTCCCAGCTCCAGGAGCCAGAGGGAGCTGAGGCCCAGTCAGCCCCAGGGCTTGGCCACAGGCACTGCTGGGAAGTCCCTGTGTCCCCAGGCTGGTCTCCATGGACACAACAGGTGTCCTGCACAACCTGCTGCCTGTGGGTGGGATGGGACAGGTCCATTCATGCTGTTATGTCCCTGTCCCTGTGTTTGGCTGGGGAGGGGCTGGGCGTCCCTGCCTGCACGAGGCTCCCAAGAACATCCCCGATGCCAAGAAAGTACTGGCACCTCTCTCCAGGGGTGCATCCTCCTTCTCGGGGCAGTCTGGCAGGGAAGGGGCTGCAGCAGTGCTGGTGTGGGGGGCTGGCTGTCCCCTGGGGCAGGGAAGGTCACCCCAGCCCTGACAGCCCCACGCAGAAGAGCCCATCTGCTCCCTGCCCTGTCAGCCAAGCAGGACCCAGCCCTGGATGCCCCTCGCCCGATGGGTGCAGGACTCGTGCCCATGGCCCCTGTCTCCCCGGTAAGCACTCACCTATCCCCCAGCTTGGGAATTGTCCCCCTCCCCATTGGGAATTGCCCCCTCCAGGTTGGGAATTGCCCTCTCTTGGCTGCTGGGGCGGGGGGGAGAAGGGGCAGGGGGGGAGATGGGCTCCGAGGGGGTCACACTTTTCTGTGGGCTGGACAGGCACGGGGGGAAGGAGTGGACATGTGGTTGGAGGTGGCAGGATTCACCTGAGTGTCTTCAGTAAAAGAACCAGGGCAGAGGTGGGAGACACCTTTCCTGGGGCTCCGAGGCTGGGGCTGCCCCTGCAGATGGTTCAATGGGGCTGCTGTTCCCTGTCCCTTGTGGGGGTTTGGGTTTCAGTTCCAAATGTGGGTTGCTGACTCCCCAACTCCCCTTCCCTCTGCCTTCTCCTAGCAGCAGAGCACTGTTCCCGAAGTCCCTGCCACCTTCCTCTCCAGAATGGCCCAGCTGAGCCCAGGACTGGCTCCTGGCTCCAGCCCTTCCCCAGTGGTGCCGGTGCCGCTGGCAGGCACGCAACCGGGCTCCCTGAGAGTCCCCAAGGCAGAGCAGCTGTCTCCCACCTCAGCTTGTGGTAAGTCAGGGGCACTCCAAAGAGCTCCACAGGGCACCACCGTTCCTGCAGAGAGCTTGGACCACCAAACATTGTGAGAATGTTTCATTTTGGCTTCAATCTCAGCTATTTCCATTCACCCAACCAAGCACAGAAGGTTCCTCCCCACGGGGGAGGTGCAGCCCCTTCACCTGCCTCCTTCTACAGGGGCAAAAGCAGAAATAGGAAAAGACAAAAACAGGCAAAATGTCTGACTGTGGTTTTGAAACCCCAGAGCTTGGGTTTGGAGCAGGAAGCGCCTGCTTTCACCCGTGGAAACCAGTGCGGCCACTGGAAACCAGGCTCTGGTGTCGTTCCCAGTTCAGTCTGGTGCTGCACACCACAACCTTGCTGCCCTCGGGACTCTTGCTGGATATTTCCACCCCAAGAAACACCGGGAATTTAAAATGTCACATCCCAGAGGTTCCCATTTCTGAGCAGTTGTAAATAAGTGGGATTTGGGGTAATGTGTGGTTAGAGCAGAGCATCCCAGTCAGAGGGGTGGGTGCCCCAGGGCAGGAGCAGCACTGTGGGTGCTCTTCCATGCCTGTCCCAATGTGTGACAGGTGTCACCCTGTCACAAGGTGCTGCTGCTGCCCTCTCCCCAAACCAGCATTTTCCATTTTCCAGGCAGCGACTGGCGCAAGCCCAGCCAGGCTTCTCCAGGACCCACAGCAGGGCTGGGCACTGGCACCTCCGTGCACCACCCCGTGTCCCGTCGGGGCAGGCCCGAGTCAAACAAGGTACTGCAGGAGCCCCATATGCACCCCCCTTTCCTCCTGCCCCCCCAAAACTCCATCCACCCTCGCTGCAAGCTTTGGGCCAGCCTGTCCCTGCTGGGGGTGGTGGCCCGTGGCTGTCCCCGCTGCCGGGAGGTGCCTGACGGCGCTGCCCCGCAGATGGAGAGCCGCCGCATCACACACATCTCCGCTGAGCAGAAGAGGCGCTTCAACATCAAGCTGGGCTTCACCACGCTGCACAGCCTGGTGAGCACGCTGAGCACCCAGCCCAGCATCAAGGTGAGCACCCAGGGCCATCCCTGGGCATGCAGGGACACGGTGTGTCACCTGGGGATGCTGCATCCCTGCTCTGCCCCAGAGCACGGAGCTCCTGCCCCTGTGGGCACATGGAGACCTGCACTGTGTGGCCGTGACAGGGCAGTCTGGGCTCTGGAGACTCTGCCAGGGTGGTCTGGGCCCCGTACCCCTCTCACCCCTTGGTTTCCCAGGTCAGCAAAGCCACCACCCTGCAGAAGACAGCTGAGTACATCTGCAAGCTGCAGCAGGAGCGGGCGGCTCTGCAGGATGAGGCGCAGCGGCTGCGGGAGCAGATTGAGGAGCTCAACAGCTCCATCAAGTAAGGGGGGACGTGGCTGGGGGGTACTGCCTGCTTCGGGGTGTCCAGGCAGGGCAAATGGCAGTGATGGAGTGGCAGCAAGACATGGTAGGTCTCCCTGGAGCACCTGTCCCTCCTAAAACCCTGGCTGGGAGAGGGCTGGTGCTCAAGAGGCAGTTATTGCTTGGGACCAGACTGTGGGGCCAGCCACCCTGGAGAGGGACACTGCCTGCCAACCCCTGCTGAGAGCTGAGGTCCTGCCAGAGCCTCTGAGGTCCTGCTGGGCCCCATGGGCAGCCCCTGTGGCTCCTGGCCTCCCAAACATGACCCCACAGCGCTGCTTGTGCCCCACAGCCTGTGCCAGGAGCAGCTGCCGGCCACGGGGGTGCCCATCACGCGCAAGCGCTTCGACCACATGCGCGGCATGTTCGACGAGTACGTCCGCTCTTCCACACTGCAGAACTGGAAGTTCTGGATCGTATCCTTTGGGGCCAGTGCCTGCTGCTCCCTCTGACCTCTGCACCAAACACCAGGTGCTCTGGTTCACCTGCTGCTGCCGGGTCTCTGGGGTCCCTCCAGCTCTACAGGCCCTGTAGAGAGACCTGTAGGGAGAGACTCAGGGAGATGTTCCCCAGCCAAGGGCACATGGTGGGAACATGCCAAGGTGCTGTGGTTAGGAGGAATCTTCTGTTACAAGAGAGCAAAAATAGTAGGAATAAATGGTTGGTTTTCAGGGAAATGGAAAGTGGAGTTGAGCTCATACAGACAGCTCCTGGTGAGATGGGAACTGGCTCTGAGAGGCAGCAGCCATCAGCCAGGGATTAGGAGGTCCAGACACAAAGCTGGGGACATGATGGCTTGGTCTTGGTGGCTGCATGGCACACCTTGGAAATCCAGGGATGGAGAGGACCAAAGGCAAGGAAACCTGTAGGCAAAGGGCTGGATCTGCTCCTCCGTGAGCAGGGATTAGACACACTGGGACCATTAAACCTGCAGAGACTGCGAGGTCTGTGAAATCCCAAGTGGCAAAAGGGTTGGGCAGGCACTGCTGCCCACAGCCCCACCCAGTGTGGGACATCTGGGCGAGGCAGAGGTGGCTGCTGACACAGAGCTGGGGAGCTCCTTCCTCAGGACACTGAGTATCCTAAAGCCAACATGGGCTCCAGGACACGCTCGCAGTGAAGGTATCTGTGTGGATTACTGCATGCGCAGAATCACCTGTCCCAGATTTTGGTCCCCAGATCAAAATCCCTGGTCCCTGCAGGCTGGGGGAGCACACTGGCCACACTGGTGTCCTGCCCTGCTCCTGGGCACTTTGCTAGCAGGCATGGTGGGGGTTACACAGCTCTCCCACCGCCCCAGGTGACACTCAGGTCCCCATCACCCCAGCAGTTCAGGCTGGTTCCCAGTGTGGTGCTGAGCTGGGAAGGCACCCAGCAGGTCTGATCCATGGTCTGTCTGCTGCTCCAGCAGTTCTGCTCCAGAGCCAGGCAAGGAGATCTGTCCTGCTGCTGAGGGAGGGTGATGCCCACACCTGGCAGGTGGGAGACCATGGCTATGGCAAGGCTGGTCCTTAACTCCTCTGCTCCCACCAGTTCAGTATCATCATGCGGCCCCTCTTTGAGTCCTTCAATGGGATGGTGTCCACAGCAAGCATGGAGAGTCTCACCCAGACATCCCTGGCCTGGCTGGACCAGCACTGCTCCCTCCCAGCACTTCGGCCAAGTAGGTGGCCCTTTGCCTGGCTGTGGCACCCCGAGCGAGTTGGGTGGGCACAGACTAAGGGAAAGGCTGAGGGGAAAAAGACAGCAGTGTCCTGAGGGATGGAGAGGCTGATACGTGGGATGTCTCGGGGCTTGTGCTCGATGCTTTCCTGTGCTCCTGTCACGCCCACCTCCCGGATCAGCTTTCTGTGCCCTAAGCCGGTGTCCTGGCAGGGCAGGTTCAGCCGTCCCCAGAATCCCACAGGGTGGGTTTCCCTTCGCCCCATCTGCTGGGAGCTGTGGCAGGGACTTGTCCCGCTGCTCTAGCAGCTGGAGCAAGGATGGGCAGTGCCGTCTCCCGCAGGGTGGGTCACCCCTCGCAGCCCCCGAGGGGCGTCGGGCAGTGACCTGTCCCCCTTGTCTCTTGTCCCCGCAGCCGTCCTGAGCTCCCTGCGGCAGCTGAGCGTCTCCACCTCCATCCTCAGCGACCCTGCCCGTGTCCCCGAGCAGGCAGCGCGGGCAGTGGCGGCGCTGGGACGCGGCGCCTCTTCCTCCTCCTCCTGACTGCCCCAGGAGGGCGGCTCTGGGGCTCCGGGAGTCCCAGCCGGGGCTGCGAAGGGGCTGTCCCCATCTTCCCCCCCCGATAAAGGAGTCGCTGTGCCACGGGCCCCGCCTGGTTCTTCAGCCCCGGGGCTGTTCTAGGGCACGGCTGGGAGGGGCGGGGTGGGACCGGGAATGGAGGGGGGGTGAGACCGAGGTGGGGACAGTCGGGGCTGGGAACGGGGACAGGGGCTGGGGGGAGATGAGGGGAACCGGGGCGGGGGCGGGGAAGTGAGACGTGGGGTCAGATTAGGGGCGGGGGTGGCGGGGCTGGAGGAGTGCCGGCAAGGGCTGGGGGTGCAGGGGCTGTTGGGGACAGGAGATGGAGGAAGGAGGGGCTAGGGAGGAGTGCGGGCAGGGGCTGGAGGGGGCGAGAACAGGGCCTGGGGGGTTGATGGGGCTGGAGGGGGAAGTGTGCAGGCAGAGGCTGGGGAAGTGGGGGGGCCGTTGTCGGGGTGCTGGGGTAGGGAATGGGGTGACAACCGGGAGGTCTGGGGGTGGCCGGGGCTGGGTAGGCGGTGATAGCGCTGGGGCTGACAGCGTTGGGGGTGACAACGTCGGGGCTGGGGCAGGGCAGGGGGTGACAGCGTTCGGGGTGACAGCACTAGGGTGACAGCGTTGGGGGTGACAGCGTTGGGGTGACAGAGTTGGGGTGACAGCGCTGGGGTGACAGCGAGGAGGTGACAGCGTGGGGGCCAGGGCAGTGTAGGGGGTGACAGCATTGGGGTGACATCGTTGGGTCACATCGTTGGGTGACATCGGGGGGCCGGGGCTGCAGTACCGCCCCCGCCCGCCAGGGGCCGCCCCGTGCGGAGCGGCGGGGCCGCGCATGCGCACGCGCGGGTCCTTCCCCCGGTGCCGGTGGCTGACGCGGCACCGGCGGCGGGAACATGGAGGGGGCGGCGGCGCCGGGCGGACCGGGGCTGCCGGGCGCCCTCCTCATCCTCCTCCTCATCACCGTCCTCGTCCTGCTGCTGGCGGCCGCGCTGCGCCGCACCGCCCCCCGGGCAGCCCCCGCCGCCCCGCCGGAGGGTGAGTAGCGGGGCGGACAGCAGGGCGCCGGGCGGTGCGGAGCGGAGCTGACCCGGCCCCTCCGCTCCCGCAGGGCCCAGGGCCAACGGGCATGCCAGGCCGGAGGAGCCGCGTAAGGCGAAGGCGAGGCCTCGCAGGGAGAAGCAGCAGCAGCAGCAGCACAGCTTCACACACCGGCTGCTGGTCGCCACCCTCAAGGTACCGCGTGTCCCCGGGCCGCTGTCCCGTTGGTGTCCCCCCCGGTGCCGTGTGTGCTTCCCGGTGCCGGTGTCCCCTTGGTATCCTGGCAGTGTCCCGCCGGTACTGTGTGTGCCCGGTTCCGCCGTCCTTCCCGCCGTCCTTCCCCCTGGTGCCAGTATCCCACTGGTGTCTCGCCAGTGCCCCGCCAGTACCGTGTCCGGGCAGTACTGTGTGTGCCCGTTGCGGGTGTCCCGCGGATGCCAGTGTCCTGCCGGTACTACGTGTCCTTCCCGGTGCCGGTGTCCCCCTGGTGTCCTGCCAGTGTCCCGCCAGTGTCGTGTGCCCGGTGCCGGTGTCCTTCCCGGTGCCGCTGCCCCGCCGGTGCCGGTATCCTGCTGGTGTCAGTGTCCCACCTCCTCCCGCCGTGACCGCGCTCTCTTCGCAGGGCCACAGCAGCCCGGTGACCTGCCTCGACTTCAGCAGCAACGGGAAGTACCTGGCGTCGTGCTCCGAGGACCGCACGGTGCGGCTGTGGAGCACCCGGGACCTGGCGGGGCGGGAGCACCGCTGCCTGCGCGCCAACGTGGGGCTGGACCACGCCGAGCTCGTCCGCCTCAGCCCCGACTCACGGTACGGACGGGCCTCCTGCTGGCACAGGGGTGTCCTGCGGAGGCACCGATCCCGCAGCCAGGCCTCGCTGGCATCAGTGGTATGTGCCCTGGGATGCATGGAGGCAGCGTCCATCACTGGGTCATCACTGATCCGTGGCCTTTCCTGAAGGCAGCTGGCACGGAATCACAAAACCACAACAGTCAGGGTTGGAAGGGACCTCTGGAGATCATGCAGTCCCACTCCTGATAGGTTAATATGGTTCTCGGGGCAAATATCCCAGTGCCCTGCATGACCATGGAAATGCCATTGAGGTCTCTTCCAGCTGGGATGTGCTGCTGAGCCTCTCCAGTGGGCTCAGGAGCTCTTGCTGGGAGGGAAAAATTGGTGGGAAAGCATGTCTTGGCTCTTTGTGAAGCAGCTTCTTTTAGAAAGAGGAAAGCATCTCGTTTCCAGGTATAATAAATTCTGTTCTTTTCCATTCAGTGTTGCAGTGGGGCCAACACAGGGAGAGAACTTGGTGCCCTCATAAAGCTTTTTACCTGCCAGTGTATCCCTCTCCCCAGGTGGCCCTGAGTGACCTGGGCTGAGCTGGGGATCAGGACCTGTCCCTCCACAGGGCTTTCATTGTCTGGCTGGCAAATGCCGAGACTATTCGTGTCTACAAGATGACCAAGAAGGACGATGGGAGCTTCACCTTCACCGCAAGTTCTGGGGACTTCCCAAAGAAGCACAAAGCTCCCGTCATTAACATAGGGATTGCAGAGACAGGTATGGAAATGAGCTGCTCAGCTGTCCAGGTTGGCTTTGATTTCCTTGTGAACCTGCTGGGTTCAAAGTGTTGGAGTTTTTGGCATTCTGAAGGCTGTGCTCAGCCCCAGTACTTGACTCTCTGTAGTCTCTTAGGGTTCTTTTTTTATTTCATTTACTCCTGAGTGAACTAAAAGGTGTCATTTTCAGACCCATTCTGTCCCTGTAACCAGCTCCCCGATATGCACAGTCTCTTAATTTACATTTTCAGGGATGCTGTTGCAAAGAGGTCTGGTCTCAATATTGAGAGGATCGCTGTTCTCTGGCCCGCCAGTCTCTCTTTAACCAGTCAGAAATCTCTCTAGTGAGTTCTTATGGTCTGTCTTGAACTTCTGGGATCACCTAGAACAGAGGTGGGGGTGGGTGGGTGGGAATTCTGTGTTAGTGGTGAGGGCTTGATGGATTAATGCTTCAGGTATGTGACAGCAGATGAATGTGAATTCACTTCTGTAACAGGAGAGCAGGGAAAATGTTAACTGAGACCTTTGTTCAGCTGTGAAAGTGAAAACTTAAACCTACAACAAGTAGCTGAAAGGTAAACAGGCAACTCCCTGCCTGGGCTGAGGTGGCACTGGGGAAATGGGAACAAGCAGGAGTCCAACACGGACACAACCAGTAACCATGGGTGGTACTGGTGTGACTGGGATTCAGCTGCCTGCCCACAATCCATGGCTGATCCTCGAGGTGGTGTTAGGCACGCAGGGCAGATGGAATGTGCTGTGTTCCTGCTGTGGCACAGCCCGTGCTGAGCTCTGCAGGGGCTGAGGGTGCTGAGCGAGGGGCACGTGTGGGCCCAGTGCCTGCTGCCCACCCAAAAGCTAAGGGAGGACTAAGGCATAACCAGGAGCTGAGTCTTCTGATTGACCCTCCTTGGATTTTGGTGCTGCTTTTGGTTTTCTCCAGCTGCAGGGAGAGGTTGTGCTGGGGCTTCAATGAGTCTCTGGCAGTGTTAGGTCTGGGACCTCTCCCGATCTTTGCCTTTTTCCCCTAGGAAAGTTTATCATGACAGCTTCCAGTGACACCACCATCCTGATCTGGAGCCCAAAGGGAGAAGTCCTGGCCAGCATTAACACCAATCAGATGAACAATGCCTACGCCACGGTGTCACCCTGTGGGAGGTGAGGGACGGGAGGGATTCCAGGCTGATCCCGCTGCAGGAGCAGCTGGGAACCTCACTCCTTCCCACAGGACGTCATCAGTTCAGACCATCAGTTAGTTGTTATTGTAATGCAGTTTTCTGCGGGTTCCACAGTTTTAAAAAGGGATTTTGCCCTCTGGGAGATGGAGCTGATGTGGGCTCAGACACGGTGTGTTACCGTTGTGCCTCAGCGCTGCTGTTCTGGTAACCTGAGAACAGCTTTGGCCTCAGGTAGCAGAGATAGGACAGAGCAAACAGCCTATGCAAAGCAAACAGCATTTTGAACTTGTTTGTAAGCTCTTAAAGGTTAATTATAAAGCTAAAGTCTTTATTTCTGGGAGATCTGTTTATCAGGAAAATCTTGTTCTCTGCTCTGTCTCTAACCTGTCGCTGCAGGATGATTTGCCTTGCTCCAGGCTCAGGGAGTTTGGGGATCATAAGCATTGAACTCTTTTGCTTTGGCCTGAGAATTTCTCATTCCTGAGTTGTTCTGGTGCCCTTCCTTAACATTCCCTTTACCAGCAGGGTTTCAGGGACAAGTGAAAACTTTCCCAGCTGACCAAAGATTTGAGTGGAGGAGTCAGGACAGGTTTGCAGAGCGCTGGCCCTGCCTTGCTCAGGTGCTCTGTAACAGGTACCCTGTGTCTCTGCTTGTTCCTTCACACAGGTTTGTGGCATCCTGTGGCTTTACCCCTGATGTGAAGGTGTGGGAGGTGTGTTTTGGCAAGAATGGAGAATTCCGGGAGGTGACCAGGGCTTTTGAGTTGAAGGGCCACACTGCTGGTGTACATTCCTTCTCCTTCTCCAACGACTCGAGGAGGTGAGTGTGTGTTATCCCACACAGCCCGCTCTGGATCACCCTCAGGACACAGGAGCTCACCCCTTCTAGGGTTCCCCAGCTGCACCCCTGAGCTGGGAGGGGTAAAACACTGCCCTGGGAGGCCAAAACTGGCTCGTGCCACCTGTATATTCCCTGCCCATGGGAATCTCATGTGATTTAACAGACCAGCTGGTGCTGCACTTGGGTCAGGGCAACCCCTGGGATCCGTCCGGGCTGGGGATAAGCAGATGGAGCAGCCTTGGGGAGAGGCTGGACATGACCCAACCCTGTGCCCTGGGCTGATCCCGCAGCGTGGGCAGCAGGGGAGGGGAGAATTCTGCCCCTCTGCCCCCTCAGGTGAGACCCCCCTTGTGCAGAGCTGCCTCCCAGCTCTGGGGACCCAGCACAGGATGGATAGGGACCTGTTGGAGGTAGTCCAGAGGAGGCACCAAGATGATCAGAGGGATGGAGCACCTCTGCTGTGAGGAAAGGCTGAGGGAATTTGGGTTGTTCAGCCTGGAGAAGAGAAGGCT